CTAATTTTCTTCTTCCAATTATACCATGTATTTAATGTTATGTTCATGCATTTCCAATCTATTATTTTTTTCTTTAGATTTATTATAGCTTTAATATCCTCTTTAGATTTATTATAGGTTTAATATTCACTTTCTCGTATGTTAATTTCGGAATTTATTTTGATTCTTTAACTCTAAAAATATTTAAATTGGTCATTTAATTCTTGAAAATATATCATATTAATTATTTTCGTGTAATAAATAACGAATTTAACAATCAATTTCTGAATTTTTCTATCACTAATTAGATGAAAATGATTAATATAACACGTTTAAAAAAGTTAAAGGAATAATATAGATTTTTTTAAAATTAAAGAGTCAAAATAAATCTCGTGGTTAACATACGAGACAAAAAATATTAAATTTTATTATATTTAAAATAATTCAATAGTTATAAGATTAATTTAGTAAAATCGCCATTGTTTTTCCTTTATTTATTATATTTTCTTAATTCGTATAAAATAGTCAAATACGAGAGAGATGGACAATTATTTCAGATATTATTGATTAAATAGTCAATATTTTTTAATTGTAAATGATATGTTTGATTAATTTGCAACCCAGAACACAAAACAATATACTCTTACTCTAACATAAAGTTTGTCACTTCTGATTTGTTTATGATCAATCTCGATGTTACACTTCTTGATATATGAAGGACCAACTAAACCAAATGAATGAATCGTTGAGACAACCATCTCAACACAATAAGAGTGGTTAGTGTTCTGGACAGGGCCCGACAGGCCCAATAGCATTGCTAAGGCCCAATCCAAATGGACTTGCTGAGGACCACGCCGATCAAAGGGTCACAGTCGTGCCCGACGTACTCCCTGAAGTCACGTGCTCGACCTCTACATCTCCAGCTCGACATCCTGCTGTCCAGCTCGACATCACCTCGAGCACCCCCAACTAGGGCAGACTCAGTCCACTGCACTCCCAACGAGACCCCGAAAAGACCGCGTCTCCGTCCGCCCGCACTTCACGCAGAACATCCAGGAAGGGGACCACGTGCGGATCCCCACTACGCACGTAGAACCTGGCAATTCCCCCATTGGGCCAAACCTGCCCGGCCCAACGGAGGAACCTTGACCCAGCGCTGGGGGCTATAAATACCCTCTATTTTCAGAGGGTCAGGTATTCATCATTCTACCCATACACTTATTATTGCCTGCTCGTGCTTCTACTTACTTCAGCATCGGAGTGTCTTGCAGGTACCCCCACCTCGTTCAAAAAGCTTTCAGCTCGGAGCCAGCCGTTACGGTCCATTTCTGATCAGGTCAGATCAGTTAGTATTGAACATCATTGTTTTTTAATCAACATTGATGGATGTGTTTCTTTACCAACCTACAATCTTAATACAACGATAGTGTGAGAATCATATTCACAATATTTTGATATTATAGTATCAAGAGATTGATGGAGTTAGATGTTACATTGATAAAATTTGTGTGTATTATCTATTCAAGTTTGATTTGTTTCAGAAAATTTGATGAAATTAAAATGTGCATAGTTAAACCAGATAAAGTAATTAGTTTATCTTTTTCATAATTTTGTTTGTATTTAATTGATGTTTTTTAATTATTCAAGATTTATGGTATGTTTTATATTAGTTTTGTTTTCGGTGTTTAAAAACCATATTTTAGAAATTAATTTTAAAAAAAATATAAAACAAATTTGGTAATCTTATTTTCGAAAAACGTGTTTTAAAGATGAAAAATGAAGAAAAAAATTACTTGCTGTTGTAGTACTTCAAAACATTTAAGAAGATTTTCAAAAAAAATGTAAATTTTGTGTTTATATTATTTTAAAAAATCCAAAAATTAACTTTTTCAATTATTCATCATTAATAAAAATAAATGACATTTATTTTGAATTTAGTTGTGTTTATGATTTCAATTATTTCTCTTTTAAAATTTAAAAATAAAAAAATCTTTTTATTTTAAATATGAATCTTTAGCTAAAAAACAAAAATATGTCCATTATTTTTTATTATCATTACTATTTTATTATTATTATTATTATTATTATTATTATTATTATTATTATTATTATTATTATTATTATTATTATTATTATTATTATTATTATTATTATTATTGTTACAACTTTGATCATTTTCTTTACTTTTTATCATTACTAACTTATTATTAGTATTATTATAGTTTTAATATTTTAATTTTTTTATTAATTTAATATAATTATTAACAAATAATTAATATAAAAACAATACAAAATTTAGGAAGAAAAAAAGCACCATTAAAAAATCCTACATAGGTCTCCTTTCATATGACTGGTTGAATATTTAATTAACCATGTGTATAATTGTCTTGTTTCAAACAATATTTTGTCATACTAAAGTAATAAACTCCTCAAATAAAATTTATAGTGATTTTAGGTTAAGTGGTGGTAAAAACACTATTATTATAAGAATAATTTGTGATATAATATGTAATATTTTATAGTGTGTTAATTAATATAAATATTACGTATCTATTTGAAGATTTGAAATCTCATATCAATAATATATAAAATATGATTAAAATTTATTCAAATAATAGTTTTTACATCTCATAATAATTTTTAACTTCAAATATTTTTAAAATGAAATTTATATTTTAATAGTGTCTTACATTTAAATCACACATGATATTCTATTAATCGAATTAATTATTTCATAGACTTTAAACTTTTAAAACAAAAATAATAAAAAGAATATTTTTATTATGAATAATTCACATGGTATAAATTTTTTGTTTAATCATAAAATCATTAATCTCTAGGAATTACGACATTGACATTGCTCTATCAAAAATATAGGACACTACATTGTTCCATATATCTTCATTTAATAAATTATTTTTTAAAATTTTGGTATTTGATCTTACAATTAACTAATTTAAGAATATCAATTTTACTGTTTACTATGGAAATCATTTAAAATCAAAACAAAATTCTATATAAATTAATCCGATATAAATTTTTTTTAACACCTAACAAAATTTGAATCGAAAATTTTGAGAACAAAACTCAAGGCTTTGCTACTAAACCAATGTTATATATTTATTTATTTACTATAACAAAAAAAATCTAAATTGAACAATTTGTTCTGTTTTAAAAAATTGAAAGTAATAGACAGTGGTATTTAACCTTTATTTATATATTTATTATCTAAAATTTAGGAATATTTGAATCAAATTTAACGACTTTAAACCCGTGTTTAGCTCTTGTAGATGTGTTCAAGAAATTTATAAGGTGCCTCCAAGTAAAAAGATAGACATTTTTAGAACATCAGTTTTAATTATTCGACACATTTCATGTAGATATCTTACAAATATTGGACACCTATCCAAAGAATGACCGAAGCAAAAACAATTAAGACAGTTATTTGAGCTTTCTGACATATAGTATAAGAGTGAGACTAGTGCAACTCTTTTAATATTAGAGGTGTTCAAAATTAAATCGGTCTGATAAAAAATTATAAAATCGAATCGAACTAAATTGAAATTGTAAAAAAATGTATTTAGTTCGAATGTATTAGATTATTTTCTAACGAAACCGCCCAGTTCGATTTAATTTGTGATTTGTACTTTGCAAATTAAACGAAACCGCATATTATGTTATAACACCTTATTAATTAATATATATTTATTTAATTCTTTAAAGAAATCAACATGTATTATATATATTTTTTATCAGGTTCTTTGTATGATATTTATTTTAATTTATAAATCATAAAAATATAAAATATTAATTATTTATAAATATTATTTTCACAAAATATATTTTATCTTATTCTTTGTATAATATTTATTTAAGAATGCAATTTTATAAAATTATAATACGCAATTTTATGTATTAAATTATAAATTTATTTTGATAATTATAAATTTTTTTATTATAATGTATGAATGATTAAACACAAAATTATATTTTTCTCTACATGTGTGTATATATAGCTCAATAATTATTTTTTTAAAAACCAAGTCAATCGAACTAATTCAAACCGCATTAGTTTGATTTAGTTTGACTTTAAACCGAACCACACATTTTTTTCTCTTGCGATTCAGATAATTTTTTACTTCAAAACCGTTCAAACTGCAGTGCAAACACCCTTACCTAATACTATGTTTTATAGGTAGAATAATTTTTATGGGATCAATTGTGGGCTTAAATTGAAGCCCACAAAGTGGACAGTTTTCTAATCCGAGATAAGACATAGACATAGACGTTCTTAAATGAAAAAGATAAATCTGTAAGCAATTTTGTAATGTTTAATACACTGGAAAACCATTTATGCTGTTTGACTGGCTTTCATCCGGAATGGAACATTGCAAACATTAGCTTAAACTCAATGGCGACGTTGCAAACATTCGCTTAAACTCAACGTCAAAAATAGTCTTGGTTCACATAGGCATGTAAAAAAAAAGTGAGTGATACAAAACTTCCGGATCACAGACACCTCTGTGAATAGTTTTGTCAATGTCCAATACACATTCGTGACGTGTTAGAAAAATCAAATAAGTGTAGAAAAAATCAGACAAATATCTCTAAAAATGATTTTTTTATGTTTTTTAAGTCGGTGTCCGACACCTATTTGTCAAACAATTGTTTAAAAGAATTTATTTTTTCAACCCATCTTATATATTTTTTAAACAAATCTCAAATACATCTAAAAGAGTTTGACATGTATTAGTGTCGTATGTAATAGTATCAGTGTCATATGTTTGACATTATCGATGGAAGAGTGTTTGTGTTGTGTCTTTGTCGGAGTCTCTGCATATTACAAAACTTTAATTAGTTTTTATCTTAGTATGTTCGATTTTATAGTGACTTGTGAATGAAAGTTATATGGGACAAAATATACATATGAGGAATTACTCATTCTATTGTACAACAAAATTTGCAACACTTCCCGAGTTTTAACAGTCACAGTAGCATAAGCCATAACTATCTGGGCAAAACTAATTGTCTACAAGCTTAAGGCCCCAACTCATATCCTCACAGTGCCTTACATGTGGAACAAGTGCACCAGTGTCAGTTCCTCTCTTAGCCATGCAGTCATAAAAGGGAGGAGCATGAAAACATGGCTCCATTGACATGGCACGTTGACAAGGCGGATTTGGGGCGGTTCGATTCTCTGGTTTGTAGAGTATCCATGGTTTCAAACCTCCAAGCCCCTGAGCCACATATCCAAAAGTAGACCATGAGCTAGTAACTAGAACATCGGTTAAGCTTAAGAGATACATTTCTGCCCAAGCTTTTTGGTTGTGAAACTGCTTCTGAGTTTGTTGATAACCTTCATGACTTGGCTGGTAAATGCCAACGACTTCTCCTGTTTCTGTAGGATATTCCCAATACATGTCTCTTACCTTTTCAAAATAACCAGAACTTAACGATGTTATCAGTACAGCTTTTGACTTTGGTGTTCCTGATGAAGGATTAAGATTCTGCTCGCGGTTAACATGAGGCAAAATACTCTCCTTCAAAGTACAAGCTAAGACCTGATCCAGTACATGTTGAAATGGACCGGGATCGGTGTCAAACACTCTGATTTGTATGCCTATTCTCTCATCAACTTTAGCTAAGTATGCATTATAGTATCTGACAACAAGTCCCCACACATTGTTTGTTGGGTGTAAGAGATATCTACCCAAGAAATGGAAAACTTTTTCTTTCTTTGGGAAGAGATCATTCAACTCCTGCTCGAAAGATGGCATCAAGAACAGAGATGGGATGAAATAATTATCTGTTTTCATAATTAACCAAGGTATATTTTGGAGAAAAAGCTGCTCTTCATCACAGAAGAAAAGCTTGTCATGATCATCATAATCATGGGCTAGATGAAGATAAACAAAAGATGGCACAGTGGAATTTGTAATTGATTTGGATTTCAGCATTTTACCGTGACACTGATTTGATTCCTGGTTGAAACTATTGATATGGCTGTTGAGAGGAAAATCGGGAGGCACAAACCAGGAAGCATCTGGAAATGGTTCACAAAATAGATCAGTCATATCCACTCCAGGGTCAACCAGTAGAACGCGATCAGTGAGGAGAGCATAAAGAAATGCTGAAACTAGGGTCAATATCCTATTTCCCAACCCACTAAACGAAATCCATACTACATATTTACAATCCAAGGAGTCGGAAAATTGACCAGAACCAAATTCTTTCACCGTTTTGTTATAAGATTCAGTATAAGGACCGCACTGTTTGTGTCGAGCTTCATATTTTCTGAGTCTAGAAATAAGGTAAGAAGAAGGTTTTCCTGATAGTCCTTTGCCGAAAATGGGTGACTGATACCTGCTGAGGCAAGATTTTTCGTGAAATCCATCAGCGAGAAGGCCACCAAGCAGTTTATCGTTTAGCAACTCAACAGAATCAAAGTCATCACTGCCCAAACCTACAAGTAACAAGTCAGAGAAACCGAATCCAAGTCCACACATGCCTAAAATAAGAATCTCTTGTCAATTTTAACTTTCTAAGGTTGTCATTAAATCACCTTAAAATCTAAAGAACCTAACTTATGACTATAATGCAGTGCAGATATTCCATCGACAGAATCAAAGTTGTGTAAAAGAGGAACACATACCTTGATTGAGTTGGAAGAAAGTAGCGGCATCAGAGGGAGGGTCTCGAAGAACAACGGATAGTGAGAAGAGAACAGAGAAGAGCATGAAAGAAACAACGAAGAAACCCATTAGACGCATCAAAGTCAAGGGGGGTGTTGCACATTTGTCGGCGAGGGTTTCCAAATCTGAGAGCTTATTATTATCAGCCCTTGGATTCTTGATTGCAATGACTCTCTTTATCAGCATATTCATGGCTGCAGATGCAGAACTGTTGATTCTAGTTGAGAGTAGAGAGAGTGATGTACTTCAATACTTCAACCACCGACTCTGATGTCTTTTTAACTCTCCGTTACAGTGATGCTGTGCCCATGGTAAATTGATGTGGCACTTTGTCATTTGATTCGCTACGTGAAATTAGAATGATGACCTCTCTATTTAGAGATTCATACCCTTAAATGTGTGTAACCTCTCTATCACCTTTCAAACGTGACATGAGTTAGTACCATGAGAAATGCTTATAAAAAGTAAAAACACTCATCAGTTTAGAGTTGTTTTGTTGCATTAAAACGTGCATGCAGTGAAATCTTGTGAGATTAAATAACATTTTGTTGCATCTTAAATTAAATGGTATTTTTAAATACTCTAATGCACATGTCAGTATAAGATTGAGTGTCACTATAAGTAATGAGATAATAAAGTGTGTATCTTTCATATAGTCTTTATGAATTTTATATAAAATAAAGGAATGATTTGGGTATTATGAACAATCGGAAGGTTCTTAAAGCTAAGTTTTGTAGACTTCATATATTTCCTGCTCATAGCTTTTTATTTCCTGCTCAGTTGGCCTCTGTTGGGGTTGCTAGATTTGTAGGTAACAGTGGTGAAGTGTTTCCTGACCTTGTTAGAGAATTTTATCACAACTTAAAACTTGTACCCGATGAATTTGGTGATATTACTCTAACCTCTCATGTTCTGTCAAAAAGTATTTGTTTAACTGCTGAGGAATTTGGTGAATTGTTGGGTGTTCCGCATGAAGGTTTGGTTCTTGTTAATGGTGTTATTCCCCACATGATTGGCTACCATTCAATAAGGAAGAAATTTTTATTAACATGTGTAGGCCAAATCAACAAAATACTGCTCGTCAACAACTTCTCTCATCATCAAATTTGTTTGGCTCAAATCTCTCTGTAAGTGACAGAATGCTCCATCTTATTATTGCATATATCCTCTTTCCAAAGAACTCTAACCATTCGCGTATCAATGAGTTTGAATTAATGGTCCTTTATGCATTGAGACGCCGTTGTTCGGTAAATTGGGCACTTTCCATTATGTACCATATGCAATTTATGGAATCTCTTGATGGTGGTTTACCATATGCTCGAGCCATTTCTCACATTTTGGAAAATGCACATGTTAACCTTCAACGAGAAGTGACAAGAATTCAAGGAGATAAATAGGCAATTACAGATGCAACCGCATTTAAAAACACAGGGATCATTCTAGATGCAAGAGGTCACTTTCACTACAAAGAAGACTTCGAACCAACTGTCTAATATGTGGCTCAACCTCCCGAAGGCGGATACACCTTAGACATGTTGTTTAATCAGATGACAATCTTCCAAAGACATGTGGATGATCGCTTTGATGTGCTCCAACAAGAAAATGCTTCAGCACGGCGACAACTACGAAATGTCCAAAGAACTCAAAAGCTTATTCTCGATCACTTTGACAGAAAAGAAGTTCTAGAGGAAGAGGTATCCGGAAGTGGTAGTGGAAGTGATGAAGATGATGATGAGATGAATGAAGATGAAGATTAAAAGTTTTTTTTAAAAAAATTCTATGTCATTTCTTTTTAATGTGTTTTACTTTGTAATGTTTAGACAATGTTCTATTTTTATGCTTCGTGATGTTTAGGCATTTTTGTTTTATTGTTATGTAATCGTACAATTCGTTGTTCGTATTTTAGTATGTTTGAAATCGTACAATCTGTTATGTTCATACTTTAATGTATGGTTGTGTTTTATGCACGTCTTAATTTTTATATGTATCTATTTCACTCTTTTTTCCCATCCTTTTTGATGTTAACAAAGGGGGAGAAGAATATGCATATGTGTTGTTTTGTTTCAAAGAAATTGCAGGCCCATAAAATATCAAACTCACTCCAAAATTCAAAGAATCATGGACTTAGGGGGAGCCTTGCATTTGCTCAACAAGTTTGTATAAACATTTCAAGAAATCGTTTTCAAGACTTGGTTGTCATCATCAAAAAGGGGGAGAATGTAATTGCAAGCTTCTCAAGTCATATTTAAAGCATGTGTTTTGATGAAGACAACATGGACATCAACATTCAAAGGATGTGCAAAAAGCTTATCAACATCAAATAAAAGTCTTGAAGATTAGTGAAGATTATTGAAGTATTTTTGAAGAATCATCAAATGTCAAATGGTATAAATAATTCTTAAAATCTTGAATATAGATGTTCACAATATGCATTCATCAACATATACATATTCCATAACTTTAACATCAAGAAAACTTTGTTTGAAATATCTTTCAAAAAGTATTTTTGAAAATAACCCTTTAGGAACCGGTTCCTCCCTAACAGGGAATCGGGTTCCAGAATTTCTCAAAAAACATGTCCCTGGTTTTTGTACCAGGAACCGGGTTGTACCAATAGGGGAATCGGTTCCTGCGTAATATTTTTGAATTCCAACTTATAACGTTCACTAAGAACCGGGTTCTGTCAGTGTCGGAACCGGTTCCTAGCGAACCAGTGCAGCTTTTACTTTGTTTTTTGAACATTTTTTAAGTGGTATCTTTTCATGAATGCATTGCAACTTTTCATATGAATTGGCATGAATGAAGAGGTTCTTATGACTTTATAAAATGCAGATTTTTTCTTATTTCAAAAAACAATGCTTCAATTTTCAAATAAACAAAAAACCTTCTTCATATTAACAATTTTCTCATTCATTCAAATTTGCACAAAAACTTTCATGTGTTCATAATTTTGTGAAACTTGCCATATACACTTTCATTATCATTACAAGTTTCATTCATACATTGTGAACATTTATATACATTGTTGAGAATTGTTTTTATCTTGAAGAAGAAGATCAATTGAAGATTGATAAAGCTCTCCATATACTTCAAACTAAATCATTGTATTACTTAAAGGTTTTTCCTTACTATCCAGGATTGTTGGAAGTAAGTGTTGTGATTTGAAGAGGATTGTTCTTCATTCACATTAGTGTTTGTTTGGTCTTAAAGGTGTTAAGAATCTTTGATCACCCTATAGGTTAGATAGTAAGCATAGGCTGTACAATCATTCTAACTATAGTGAAATCTCTTTCGTGTTGGAAAGGGGACTGGAGTACTCTCGGATTGTGAGGGGAACCAGGATATATCACTGTGTTCTTTACTTTTCCGCATTTATCGCTTTCATCACCATAATCAGGAAAAGATAAAGATATAAACAAAACCTTCAAACACTTAACCAAAATTACTACCAAGCATTCTCATAAAATCGAATAAATTTTTATAAGACCTAATTCACCCCCCCCCCCCCCCCCCCCCTCTTAGGCACTATGAGACTTACAATTGGAAGTTCAAAAATCCTTGTGCAAACTCAAACCCTAATTTTGGTCATCAGTGCTTAAGGAGATGTCTTGAGCTGATCAACCCTAGTGCAATCTTGAATCAAGGGAGATCTTGTGAGCAAATTCTTGATAAATGAGAGGGCAAATTTTGGGGTACAACACTGCTCTTTCCATGGCAATGTGAAACTTATTTAAGAAGGCCCTTGGTCTTCTAGATTGTGCGTCGATACCTCCATCACACCTGAAAGTACGGTTGAAGATACTATTTGGCTTATGACGATGGGCATTTCGTCAACAGAAGTTAGAATTCCATAACTTCTGACACTCTTCGTTACTGATTGATCTCCAGAGTTTGGAGCATGACCTTGGGAAGGGGATTGTTTTTTCTGAGACATTTCAGGAATTTTCTTTCCACTCCTAAAAAACATAAACCCTCAAAACTCATAAGCTTTACGTAGAAAAAAACCGTTCAAAAGAAACGTATGACACTTTTTTCTGCAAAAATGTTTAAAAATATTTGCACAAAAGGGTTTCATCGGGTGTGGAAATTTATTTACCGGTGTTTTTGGTAACCAATCACTAGGGATGGCAACGGATCGGGTCGCGTGCGGGTTTCACACTACCCACACCCGCACCCGAAATCATCACCCGAACCCGAACCCGAACCTGAAGGCTATTCGGGTGACAAAATCACACCCGCGCCCGCACCCGTTGGGTTCGGGTTTTTTCACCCAAACCCAAACCTGAAGGCTATTCGGGTGACAAAATCACACCCGCGCCCGCACCCGTTGGATTCGGGTTTTTTCACCCAAACCCAAACCCGCACCAAAAATCAAAAAAAAAATTACAATTAAAATAAGGTCTCTTTACATTGCCTTCAAGAAAATGCAATCACAATTATCTTAACATAGTCTTCAACATCTTAACATTACAATTAAAATTAAATTCTACAATCAAATTACAACTTTTCAACAACAACAAGCTAATATATTACAACTTTCTTGTGTAAGATTAGATGTTCCTTCCGGCTCCGGAGTTGTGTTCACTTGATCTATTTTACCTATTACAAAGAAAATATATTTCACATGTTAAGAAACACTAATAGATATTATCATCATAATTTTAAATTGTAATAATAAACATGTGAAACTTAAAACATATAAAACATGTAACTTAATTCTTGGTAATGCTGAACTTTTAAATTGTAATAAGAAGAATCCTTTAGACCACTTCTTGATACATACAGAGATGTAATAGCTTACAACACAGATAACATATCGCTTTTAAATTGTAATAATTTTAACATGCCATATTCTTGATAATTTATCATGTTTGCAACTGGAATAAAACTGCCTATAATAATGTTTGTCTACTAACTTTCAGCATGCTTGCATGCGCGTTAAATATCATGTTTTTGAACTGTCTAGAAACATAAGCACAACACTAAAAGAAATGTCTAATATCAAAAGCATTAGTGCAAATTAGTTGGGGCAACAATGGTGGAAGATAGAAACAATAATACTCACCATGTTAACATATAGAAACAATAACTTCTAATCTTCAAAATGGTAACCCAAACAACCTTCCATCAACTCAGCTGTATTAACAAATAAATTGATGTTAAATAAAACACTAAAGCTTAAAACTTCTACACCAAATGAAGTACAAAATACCTTCATCGTCTGACTCCATTTCATTCAACACAGTAGCAATTTCTTCTGCAACTCTAAAAATTCCTATATATATTATATAACAAGAAAAATTAGTAATATATTATTTGCCAATGACATACCAAAGTAGTAATACATTATATAACAAAAAAATTAAGGTAGAAAGTAAAAATAATTTGACAATGACATACCGTTATTCTCAGCAGCCCATAGCCAACTCCTAGCACACATCAAAGCCTCTACGGTAGTCCAATTAAGTCGGCTACGATGAGGACTCAATATTCTACCACTATTACTGAAGGCCGATTCAGAAGCTACTGTAGAGATAGGAATAGCTAACACATCTCTTGCAATTGCTTGAAGTGTTGGATACACAACTCCATTTACCTTCCACCAATTCAAAATGTCAAATTCTGGAGTATTTTTTATAACTGACTCTTTCAAATAATGATCTAACTCATACTTAACACTTGAACTTGAGTCTTCGGCAACGGCAATTGTCTCAACGTATGCATCAAATTCAGCCTCGTCATCAATAATAGCAGTTGTACCAATGGATGGAGCAGTAGGTTGTGCATCTCTAAGTTTAATCTGTTGATAATCATTGAGCAAATCATAACACGTGTCTTTGATTCTACTAACTTGTGCACTTGATTCTTCTCCATACAACTTAGGAAACCAGAAATTAAGTACAACCATCTTCTTCCTAGGATCCAAAACTGCAGCAACTCCCATCATATCATGAACACCACTCCAATAATTTTGAAATTTTTCCATCATTCTTGTGGCCATCATCTCAATAATTGAATTGGAGGACTTCTTCCATTCCTCTATTGCCAACTTAATCTTACAAATCTTAGGAAAGTACAAGTTGGCAGTTGGATATTTTGTACCAGAAATCAACTAATCTACTTCATTAAATAATTTTAAGCACCCACAAACATCTTTAGCAAATTGTCATTGTGAATTAGTTGGAAGACAAGTGTACAAAGACTCATGTTGCTTCAACCGAATAAATACATCCTTGTACTCTATGGCAATATCAAGCATCTTATATGTGCTATTCCATCTTGTTGGACAATCTAGAGCTAACTTTCTAGTGCAAATAATTCTCAATTGTCTAGCGGTATCTTCAACTTTTTCATACCTTTTAGGTGTAGCACTCCAAAATCCTACACTATCCTGAATATTTTCTATGCCATCCTTAATCACTTGTAGCCCCTCCTGAACAATTAAATTTAGGATGTGCGCACAACAACGCATATGTAACAAAGACCCATCCCTTATTAAACATTCCAACGACAACTTATCCTTAATTTTCCTAATCATTGAGTCATTTGTGCTACAATTATCTAAAGTAATCGTAGAAAGATTTGAATCAATGTTCCAGTCCATTAAACAATTAACAAGTGCTTCAGAAAGTCTTTCACTAGTGTGAGGGGCTGGAACATAAATGAACCTAACATAATATTTACAAAAAACAAGTCTGTCACTTATTGTCATTAAGAACAAAAAAAAAGATACAATTAAGTTATAAAATATAAACATTGTTACCTCAAGATTCGACTCTGTAAAGTCCACGAGCCATCAATATAGTGAGCCGTAACCGCCATATACCCTTTTTTTTGGTTGCTTGAAGTCCACATATCTGTGGTAATTTCCACTCTCCCTTCATGGTTATCTAACATCTTCATAGCACATTTTTTCTCAAAATCATAAACTTTCAATACCTCCTTCTTGATTGTGTTTCGAGTAGGAACTTTAAACAATGGTTGGAGAGAAACAAAGACTCTTTTAAGACCAATGTGATCCACAATTGATAGTGGATAATCGTGCATAATAATAGCTTCAACAATCAACTTCTTCACATGTTCTGAATCATAAGTTCCAATTCCCAACTCTTGCTTTCCTTCTGAGATAGGCGGTAGGAGAAATGGTTGTCCTTTGTCATGGTTTCTAGTCTTGATCTTTTTTTGAATACAACTCAAGAGATGTCCTTTCAAGTGATTTGTTCCATTCTTTGAAGTGCCACTAAGTTGTTTTTTACACCAGATGCATTCAGCCTTATCTTTTCCATTCACTTTCATCTTTTTAAATTCTTGCCACACATTACTTCTAAGTTTCTTTGATGCAGGTTCTAAAATTGTATCAATTTCTTCTTGTTGCCCAATATCAGGTTCAGGTGTCGGATTCGGATTAGAAGATACCTCCTGAGTTGGACATGTACTTTCTTGTGTAGGATTAGATGCTCCTTCTGGTTCCGGGGTTGTGTTCACTTGATCCATTTTACCTACTACAAACAACAAGAAATTTCATAAACAATTGTATAAAAGAAAATGAGACTTTAAGAAGGCACGAAAAAACATACCACCACAAGATTCATAATCGCAAACACCTTAACATTCATACAAAGTTTAAAAAAGAAATTAAAATGATAAAAACTATTATTGATAAAAGCTATTATTAAAAGTAATGTTTTTACACGAGACAACATGGTCCATTCAGCAGATAGATGTTAATAATACTTTTCTCAATGGCATATTGGAGGAGAAGTGTATATGTAGCAGCGTCTTGGGTTTGAATCTAATGATAAAACATTGGTCTACAAGCTTAATAAGGCTCTTTATAGCCTAAAGCAGGCCCCTAGGACCTGGTTTGAGAGACTCAACTACAATATGGAAAGCCAAGAGAGAAACATGTGTATTGGAAAACCAAGTAAATTGACAATGTCGATATCTTTAACACTCAAGTTTAATTAAAATCTTATATTATTGTTCTAAAGGCTGATGTTTATAATTCAGCTCTTTGTTGCTATTATTAGCAGTTTGTTATTATTATTATTAGCAGTTTCTTACTATTATTAGCAGTTTGTTACTCTCTAATTGAAAGTTTTGTTTCTGATAATTTCTGTCTGATATGTTTATGGAATCTAGTTTCTGATATGCAAGGATGATAAAATCTGTTTGAATCTATGTTTTCTTTTTGCAAGTTACTGTACTTTTAGAAACCAAAAATCATTATGGAGAAAATACCCTTTTTCAGCTTGTAATTAAGCTTATAAATACATCATGATACCTAGGACCTGTTTGGGTTTGCTTATTTGAACTTATCTACTGACATAAATTTTGTGAAACTGTTTGGAAGAACTTATAAAAACAGCTTATTCATAAGCTATTTTAATAAATTCACTAAGATAATTTATAAGATCAGCTTATAGCATATACATTAACAAATTTAATTTTATATTTTGCTATAGAAATAACGTATATATAAGTGTTTATCATGATGAGTGCTTATGCTATTAGCAGTTTATCTAGACAGGCTGCAAGAAAGATGGGCTTGTAGAAATCTTATACTTGAGGAACATGCTTTTCTGTTCCTATCTTAGTACACCAAAATTGCATAATCTTTTGTTTCTTAATGTTAAAGAACTGCTGCTTATACAGTTTCATTCATTCCAACCTATTAGGGAGAAGTTGAACTCGATGAATCTGCTCCTGTATATGTCTCCGATTGCAGTTGTACTTTTGTTGCCTGCAACGCTTATCATGGAGCCAAATGTTATAGATGTCACATTAGCACTTGGAAAGGAACATAAATTTATGGGCGTGCTTCTTCTTCTTAACTCCGCCACAGCATATGCAGCAAACTTAACAAACTTCCTGGTGACAAAACATACAAGTGCTTTGACACTCCAGGTCTGTAGCTTCTATCAATATTTTACATATCATATTAGACGCAAAATCTGGACAATTCATGTTAGGTGCGCCTATTACAAACTTAGCTTTGTTATTTTGTGCAACTTATTTACTGAATTTACTGTCAAATTCTGTTAACCAGGTATTAGGCAATGCAAAAGGTGTTGTAGCTGTTGTTATCTCTATACTGATATTCAGAAACCCTGTCACTTTTATTGGCATGACTGGCTATGCAGTTACTGTAATGGGAGTTGTTGCATATGGAGAAACAAAAAGGAGGTTTAGATGAACAAATCCCTCACATTCACCGATTGTCATATTCATGTATTTTGTTGTAGTTTTGTCATATTCATGTATTTTGTTGTAGTTTTGTCATATTCATGTATTTTGTTGTAGTTTATTTACATCATTAAGATTAATTGTAACGTGACTAGGAGTAGGGGCGATGACAGCGCGGGGGAAGTGGTTTTATAATGTCATTATGTTGTATCTAGCACATATATATTTATTTATCAATAGTAGTACATTATTATGATCTAATTGAAGGATGGCTCGTTAAGTACAGGAAAATGAAATTGTGTATAGGGACGATCTCAGAGGCATCTGTTTCAAAATTAAACTTGAGTTTTAGATGATCATGACAAGTTCCGCACTTCTACTAATGTTTATACAGGTAGGTGCATGTGGAAAGCCAAGAGAGAAACATGTGTATTGGAAAACCAAGTAAATTGACAATGTCGATATCTTTAACACAATAGAATAGAAGAAAAAAAGAGGCCTTAATAATTAACACAAACAGGCACCATGTCGAGGCTGGTAGAAAAAAGGGCCTTAATTAATTAACACAAGCAGTTTATTAGGACATACGCACAAACAGCTAAAATAAAAGCTTGCATTCAAATCCTATGTTGTAGCATCACTTGTTGCACTTTGATCCACTGTCACAACCCTTATTTTGTTTCCTTTCAATACTAACATCTCAGTGTGCAGTTCACTCACTTTAATCCATTACCATTTACCATATATTTAATTGATACTACAAGAATAACATTTCACAACATCATCAAATAGAACACATGCATACATTTGATAACAAACATAAAAAGCCCTCAAACTGAGATGACAAAATCAGATCATAACATGCAAAATGAGCTGAAAGGAGCAGTTGTATTGAACAATGGTACATACCTTCTTGAAGAGTACTCTCTCTAAAGCAACAACAAGTGGAAGAGAAGACTAAAATCCGTGATGAAATTCGAGCTGAAAGCCAGACTAAAAAGGTAAGCAAATATGCATAACAGAACATATTAGAATGTTATGTTTGATTAACAAAATAGAAAATAACAGTCTATGATGTTAGATAATTATTTTGAATGATAATTCAATCAGGCCAGTTGTAAAGAGTATGGGCAAGAATTTAGACTTTAGAGCAGCAGTACAAGAAGAGAGAGCTGCTAGAGATTTGCTTAAATCCAAACGGCAGGAGATGGATTCAGTTCAATCCACCATGAATAGATTAAATAATGCAATTTATGTAGGGGATATCGATAGCAAGGTATGCATTCATTTTGTTATTCCTGAGATATTTACCAGGATTTAATTCTTATGTCTGTTTTGTTGTGTTAACTTCTCTAGATTTATAATTTGATTTCAGATTAGAAACATGGAACACATGATTCAGCATGAAACTCTGCCTCTAAAAGAAGAAAAGCAATTGATAAGGGTTTATTCTCCAATTAAAAGTTGATTCAACAATAAAAATAAACCGGCTGCTGTTGTACCCCAAATTTTGACCTAAAATACCGTCTTCCATCTGCATCATTCGCATTGCAAGAGTTTTGACATATTTTATCAAATTTTCAAAGCAGTGTAAAATTCACAACTTTTTCGAGTCGGGAGCTGTTTATTTGTTGAACGCTAAATTTATTAACTGATCAAGACTTAAACAACGTTCATTGATTATTTATTATCTTAAATTCAAATAATTGAAATTTATTTTCGATTATTATGTGATTTAAAGATTTATAAATAACAAAACAAATATTTGAGAAGAGGTTTATTAATTGGTCAAATAATGTTTATTAATTATTCATTATCCTAAATTTAAATAATGGGAACCTGTTTTCTGTTATTATATAATTTAAAGGTTTATGAATAATGAAATAAACATTTGAAAAGGAGTCTATTAATTGATCAAGCAATGTTTATTTGATTATTTATTGTTCTAAATTTAAATAGCTGAAATTCTATTTTTTCAAGTTATTATAATTTAGAAGAATTAAAAATAATAATAAAGTAAATGATTGAAGTTATTAATTGATCAATGATATTTATTTATTTGTTTATCATTCTGAATTTAAATGATTGGATTTGATTTTTCAGTCATTATATAATTTAAAGAATTATAAACAATAAATAAATAATTGGAAAGAAAAAGAATTAATTGAGAAATAATAGAATTTTTATTCACTTTATTCTATTTATTACAATTGTCATTTAAATGTTGTGTTATTACAAAATATTTATAAAGACAATTACATAAATGCTTAAAGTAAATAAAAAGCTATTTTTCTAAATTCTAATTCTAAATCTTCCATCCAATGCTCTTGTTTGCTCATTTAATTTTACCTGCGAAAACGATTAAAAGAAAAGTCAGAATTGAATAAATAATTAAAATGCAGAAAATAAATTTAATGTTCATCATTAAAAGCAAACGGCCGGAATCAGTTTGCCCTTTTTGCAAATCGCGGGATTTCTCCCGGTTCACAAAAAGGGAGGAATTTTTATGAATGCACAATTAAAAAATAGCACATTTCAAAATCAATTGCATTTTTATCAAAAAGCCCACTGCATATTTCACATATGTATAAATTCAATTTTGGTCAAAACTGCATAAACCATACAAAACAGCATATGCAAGTTCACAAACAAAAGCTAACGTTAACCTGCATCCTTATAGGAGAATAACATAGGCTCCCATGCAAGACAAAAGAAGAGATATGCAATTTTAAAACAATATATGCAAGCAATATATGTTTCCCTTTTTCATCATATTCCAGCCTGTTTGCCATTTCAGAATGTAAAGTACATATCACATTTATGTATCATTTATGTACTTGAGAGAGAAGAGAGAAGAGGTTCAGTTTTGTAGGTTTGGATTTAAGCTTGAAATAGGAATAAAGTCAAAATCACATGTAGCAGCATAGGTGCAAGCATCAGGGAAATATATTAATATACTCAAACCTGAGCCATCAAGGAGGCAACGGATATATATTACCAAACCCCTTAAAATATAAGCAGAGTTCACAACCTGTAAAAAGGAGGCCTCCACCACCAAAAACCTTAAAAAAAACACATAACCTGTTTGATAACCTGCATCAAACTATTCAAAAAACCATAGTCCATGGCATAACTTGCATACTGCATCAGAACCATTTTTCAAGCATACTGCATCAGAACCATTTTTCAAACATATTGCCAAACCATTCAAAAACCACATAACAAGCATATTGCTAAACTTGCATATTGCTAAACAAGCATATTGCTAAACCTGCATATTGCTAAACCTGCATTAACCTGCTAAAACCAAATCAAAACTCACAATACAAACACAATACCACAATGTTCGAAATCAGAAGCATGATAGGGTCGAGGAATCAAACATAATACCTTAATAATTTCCAGAGAAATCCTCCTCTCTGTCGGTATTCTTCTTTTCTCTTTCTTTGACACCACTGTAAATCTTGTTCCTCTTTATGATTATTATCATTGTGTTTGTTCATAATTTTTGTTGAGGTTAGAGTCCTCATTCACATGATGATTTCGTTGCTGAATCTTTAAGAGCTGTGAAAACAAGGAAAATCCTGAGAACCAAATACGAGATTTGGATTTGAGCAACTGTGAAATAGAGTGCATTACCGTAAGAATCGAATAGGGTTTTAGCCGAGAGTGTACTCGATCTTCGCTTCATCAGTTTCTCGACCTCCTCCGTCAACCTTAAAACAACCAGCCACATCCTTAATTCCCTTATTTTATATAGTAGAACCATACCAACACAAACCATTATCATCACCATTCTAAATTCAACCAAAACAAACATTTCCATTCTAATCCAGATAAACATATACTGTAATCTAACTTTCACAAGCTCCTCCTGTCGAAACCATTAACTAAATTTCATTAAAGGGTACAACACAACATAATACTTAATGCTAACAAATTGGTACAGAGGTTTATTTTCTTTTTTCAGAAATATGAAAAGAACAAAACAAAGTCATCCGCACAACATCGGCCATCTCTCTATGATCCACTCTCGCCGGCGACTTTATCACCTTCGACGACAACACCTCGAAGCTACGACGCGGACAACTGAAGCTCCAGCCGCACCCTATTTCCACAACTCTAACAAAAATATAATAACAAAATTACCTTGCATTGATTCTTTCTTCATTCTGCAGAAGAATCGTAAATAATTCCAGATCACTCTGTTTTTTGCTTCAGTCTTCAAGAACCTTCATCACCATCAACGATTCATCATCACTGTTTTTGTCCAGCTTCCACGATGCCATTAGCTTTCCGTCTACCTCAACTCCTCGTCACTATATCGATCACATACAAAACATAGCAACAGGGTAACTTTTCTTAGAAATGATAATCTTACAATAAATGATTTGAGCAACATGGAACTTTTAAAAATGGCAGAATGTTACCAATGTATGAGGCGCGCGCAATGACTCCAAAATCGCACCCAGCTGGAGATCTCCTCTGATTTCGTTCCAGATCCGCAACTGATACAACAAACACCCTCTAACTTTGTTTCCAAACAATCTCCATCGTTCTTCCTTCCAGCACCGATCTCCCATTCTTTAACCCAAGCCCCGCGGTGGTAACTGGTAAAGCAAGATATTCGGAGAAGAACAGCCATGTCGAATCGCTGTTTATCGAGTGCTCATTTCCTCGCTATCGTAGCAACCCGCCTCCTTCCCTTGCAACGAAAACCACTTCTCTTCTCCCTCACTCTCTCTTCTCGCTTTCACAACCTCCACTCCTCAATCGTCGCCGTCTCTTCCAAAAAAAACAAAAACAAGAAAAAAATTACTCATGTTACAGAGGGGAACGAAGATGAGGATGCATTTGAAATGCTGTTTAAGCAACTTGGAGAAGATCTCAAAAAACTCTTTCACAACCACACCGTAATCCCAACTCACCATCGTTCGTCGCCGTCGACAACCCTCTTTCACCGGTTCCCTCCATAAAGCGTCCGTCAAAGTTGTTGACATCCTCACCGCC